CTCACAGCACTCGAGACTTCGCAGCGAACAGCCACCAAACACGTCAAAAGCTGGTTCCACCTCCCATATAATCCTAGGCTGAGGACTCCGACGTTGTACAGCGGTCAGTATCGGTTCCTACGTGGCGACCTAATAATGACTTACTAGCGTTTAAAGAACACCCACCACGTCTGCCGCCACCTAATGCAACTCAGTCACAGCTCGAATCTGAGAGGCCACCTGCTTTAGTTGGCCACGCAATACTATCGGCTAGAATGTCGACGTAACTTTTACTCTCTTCGTGTCTGTCAGCCATGCAACGTCCTCCCAAATCACCTTGTTGCCGCCCCGTACTTTATTTGTATTTACTACTTCGGCCTGGGCAACCGGGTAGTATCACGCCCACTGACGAATCATGGACTACACCGCTCACTACTACCACTGCTATGCCGCTCTTCTGTCTTAACTCAACCGCTCAACGTCCACTCACAGACCACCCCACCTCCCGTCCTTCACCTACATGTACTCTTGTGTCTTCTACGGTCACCGTCACAAACGACCCACGTCTCGCAGCTGATGGAAGTAACAGCCAAACTCCCGGTTCTCAATGTCCTGCGATCGCAACCGCCTCTCACTCCACCGAAGCTCCAGCTCTTCTCCGACCTGGTTCTCCATTCATCCTCGCAGCGTTTAATGTTCGAACTTTGATGCAGATCGGACGACAAGCATGTCTGGCCCGTACTCTTGAAACGCTATCGGTAGACATCTGTTGTCTTTCAGAGACCAGATTACAAGACTCTAGCGCCGTCATCAGAATGGCCTCTCCGGTAAACTCTGACGCCAAATACTACTTGCGGCTTTCCGGAGACCCAGAATCTGCCGCCACTGGTCAAGCTGGTGTTGGGGTTGTATTAAGTGCCAGCGCTGAATCAGCTCTGCTTGACTGGATCCCAGTCAACAGCCGACTATGTGCAGTCAGACTAAGAGGTTCATGTAACGTAAGCAGGCGTCGAGATGTTAAGCGTGCCTTATTTGTCGTCTCCGCCTACGCCCCTACAGACTGCAGCCCGGATGCAGTTAAAGATAGCTTTTACCAACAACTACATGAACTTCTGCGTTCCTCCAAACGGACGGATATAGTCATTCTTGCCGGGGACTTTAACGCGCGGCTTGGCCGCCTTCTACCAAGCGAGCACCACATTGGGGGTAGTTTTGGTCTCGGTGGCAGTCGATCAGACAATGGAGACAGACTACTTGCTCTTTGCTCTGATCATCGCTTGTTTCTTTCGAGCACTAGTTTTCGACACTCGAGGAGACAGACTGCTACCTGGCGCCCGCCCTCACAAACGCAAGAGTGCTCCCAGCTTGACCACATAGCAATCAGCTACAGATCGCGCGGAAGCATAACGGACTGCCGATGGTACTGGTCAACTTTTCTAGACTCTGATCACGCATTGGTTCGTGCTAAGATTTGCATGCGTTTCGGAGGATCACCTAAGCGCGCCCACTACCGACCGGACGTCGCGAATCTACAAAACGCTGCGATTTTAACCAGGTACCAAGCCTCACTGTCAACTTTGCTTGGCTCAACTATTGACTTTGATCTCGATTCGCAGTGGGCGCATATCAAAGATGGGTTAGTTTCCGCCAGTATCGACACTTGTGGAGTTACCCGTCACCCACCGAAACATTGGATTTCCGCCGACTCCTTGTCGCTGATGGACAAACGCCGCTTGATCCCATCGGATTCGAGACACGTTGAAGAACGCCAATACCTTGGTCGAGAGTTGCGCAGGAGTCTGCAAATGGACCGCGAAGCTTGGTGGTGTGAACGTGCTAGGGAGATGGAGCTTGCTAGTCTCTGTGGTAATACCAGGAAACTCTTCCATCTCCTTCGAGTCACCGAAGGTGTTCGATCTGGTATAAGTGAAACAGTATGCGAAGAGAATGACACCTTAATCACCAACCTTCAACGACGGTTGGAGCGATGGGCCGAACATTTTGGCTCGCAGTTTTGTTGGCCCCCAGCTCCATCTGCTACCTCTGGCGCTCGCGCTGGGGCCGAGTGGTCTACCCCCACAGACCCTCCCTCTTCCCAGGAAATCGAGCAGGAGCTCCGGCACCTGAAGCGTTATAAAGCTCCCGGCCCTGATGGTCTTCACCCAGCTCTATTTAAAGATGGTGGCGCATCGCTGGTCCGAGAACTCACCGTTTTGTTCTCGAAAATTTGGTCGAAAGAGAAGGTTCCATCATCTTGGGGTGAATCGATAGTCGTACCCATCTTCAAAAAGGGCCTGCGCACAATCTGCTCCAACTACAGAGGAATAAGTTTAGTCCCCGTCGTTTGCAAGCTGCTGGTGTCCATCATACTTCGCAGGCTATCCTCAACACGCGAATCGTTGCAACGAGAAGAACAAGCTGGGTTTCGCCCTGGTCGCGGCTGCATCGATCAAATCTTCACACTTCGCCAGATCCTCGAGCTCCGCCATGTGTATCAGAGGCCAACGATTGCTGTGTTCCTGGATATCCGTGCAGCCTTCGATTCTGTCGATCGTACAGTACTGTGGCAGTGCCTTCTGAGGAACGGTGTCCCCGAGAAATTCGTCTCCATACTGCGCGCTCTATACAGTCTGACCTCGGGCAGGGTTAGGTAGTCGAGTTGTTGATTTGGATTATGCTGATGATATCGTCTTGCTGGGTGACGATCCACAGGTCGTCCAACTTGCATTAAACCGCTTGACGATTGAAGCATCAAAGTACGGTATGTGCTTTTCGCCATCCAAATGCAAGGCTCTCCTTCAAGACTGGCAGATGCCTCTGCCTGCACTCACGCTTGCTGGTGAGACACTGGAGGTTGTGGAGAGCTTTGTCTACTTGGGAATTTGCATCACTGCTTGTGGGGCTGTTGGAGACGAGATTTCGATGCGCATCTCGAAAACACGCCTCGCTTTTTCTAGGCTGAAGCATTTGTGGCGTCGCCACGACATTCGTCTCTCCATCAAAGGGCGGGTCTATTGTGCAACTGTTCGTGCTGTACTGTTGTACGGATGCGAGACCTGGCCCATTCGTAAAGATGACTTGCGCAGGCTATCCGTCTTCGAGCACCGCTGTCTGCGGTCCATTGCCCGTGTGTGGTGGCAGCACCACGTAAGCACTGTGGAAGTTAGACAGCGTGTCTTGGGACTTGGAAGCCACTCGCTCGAGGAGCTCATCTCACTGCATCAACTGCGGTGGTTAGCGCACGTATTGCGCATGCCTGTCCAGCGTTACCCCCGTCGTGCGTTGTTTGCACTTGCTGGACAGGGCTGGAAGAGACGGTCTGGTGGACAGCCTACAACATGGAGAAGCCGCATGAAAAAGTTGACGAAACAATTGGCCTCGGCCGGTTGTTGTCGACTACCTGGTTGGGGTCCGAGAGATGAGGATACTTGCTGGTTGAGAACCTTGGAAGTTATGGCTCAAGATCGATGTCAATGGCGGACGTGTGCATCAGTGTGTTGCGGTGTCCCTTCCTCCTCCCCCTAAAAAAAGAACAAACTGAAAAAAATTTCAAAAACTGTGAGTGGTAAACTTGACAAAAAAGCATTTCTTGTTGCTCTTTTCTTATTATTCATATTGTTTTCCTATTCAGCCATGATTCCGATGGCACAATATCTGTACCACAGATTGTGTATAATATATATATATATATATATATATATATATATATATATTTACTAAACGCCTTGACGTTCTTCTGATCTACCTACATTACTAGATATGGCCCGTGTACATCGACAGCTGATATAAGGTGACGAACGTTCCACAACCTGCACTTAATTCATACAATCAAGTTTCGCCGTTCTCCGCATGCCTCTGTGTGAACACTCTGTGGTAATTCCACCGTGACGTTTTTCATTTTATCACTCTGTTTTCCCTTCACCATTTTGAGGTTCTTGTTCTGGCGATCCTACGGGACTTGTTAGGCATCTGCATTTTACCCCTAGTCTACAATTGTTCCCATGTTCCGTTGTACTACTGCAAAGACTTGCAATGTGCGATAGTTGCTGATCCGGGAAGTAGTACCCCCAACTCACTTTGGTGCCATCTGATCAAGATACAGCGATGCATGTCTCGTAGCTGTCGGTTATCATCCAGACTTCCCCTTCGGAAATCGGTTCCCTGAACAGTGTAACATCTTAGGTACAGCTACATCCTCATCTTAGAGGATTTCAATGTACACAATCCTCTAGAAAGCAGTTCAAAATAGGTCTGCATTAATTTATCTCCTATATCTTCTTATACAACGATGTTACTTCGCCCACAAGATTTTGGATAGTAAACAAACCGTCGGTACTGGACCTTGTGCTCATAAATGAGGTGCTCATGGTGAAACAGATATTAATGGCGGGTCCATTAGGTCTCAGCGGTCACGTAGTCATAACATTTAACTCTGTTTACCATGCAGCGTATCCATCTGAACACTCGGAATTTACTCTTACACTTACACGTCGCCACTTCCTAAAAGAACACCCCGAAGCATCCATTTGACGGTTCTGGAACACTAGTCCCCCTGGTAAGATTTGGACAGAGTTCGGTGACAGACTCAGCGACATGATCAACAGAGCGTCGGAAACAAAACCACTTTTTCCTCAATAGTACAGTCGATTCTCAGAAGCATAACTCGAAAATGCGTGGCAATAAGGCATGCAGCATGTCATGCGCGCATGGCAAGCACCGACCCGGAGACTCGGGCGAACTTCCTGACCCACAACAACCAGTGTACCGCGCTTGTCCGTGAGAAAAAGTTGACTATCAACAGTGCCTAGGCAAGGAATTTCTGCTAAACAAAAAACTGCTGACAGGCATGTCAACAGCCTTCGTACAGTAAAGCATGCCATCCCACACTTCTCTTTCTGACTTTTCTTCTCATCTCGTGGTCGCCTATTTGTTGTTTGCTAGTTGGTGCTTTCCGGAAGCTACTGAATACATCATCCTACCCTATTCTGTCACTCCAGTTCCGATCATCACAGTACTAGAGTAAGGAGAGAATCCCATTTTATCGAATTAGACTTAAAGATAAGCAAACTGAGGCAAAAATCAAAATGAGATACTACAATGCGCCAAAAGTTCTTTAAGCACTTAATGATAATGTTTCTGCAATTGACTCGTCTACAAGCACTGGATGATGTTTGTTCAACTGATTTCGCTCGGTATGATAGCCAATGGTTGCCACCAATTCGCTCTTTCTACATCCGGAGGAATGTTTCCGTCCAGTCTTGGCGGGACCTTCTCAGTGTACTGGCCTGGTACGTTTCCTTTCTCATAATACAGTCCGACTACAAACACTGCGCAACGTCCACGGGCTGTGGCCCGCCCGAAACCGGCCCGAGTGGTCGATTTCCAAATGAGTTGTGAGAAGTGGGCTGGTGTGGAGAAAGCAGAGGTGGATGGAAATTAGTGGAAGTAAAACGAAGAGAGTATTCATCACCATATGAAGTAAGCACATTAATGCGCTAACATATGGGCAAGCTTTTGTATCCTATACTGTTGTTATTGCTGAAATCTCATGGCACTCTTCATTGACGGTATATCGTAACAACGAATGGTGACATATTGCGAAGGCTGTGCCACGTGCATAACTGTGCGGCTCTGATTGACAGGTTTATGCTCTCATTTGCAATTATTACGTAGCCCAAACTTCCGGCCAGCTCGGCTTCCCCTCGGTGGTCGATGCTTTCTAACTGTTTGGCTCGGTTGCAAATCCGTACTTTGCACGAGCATGGGTTCACCTACGCTTTTCCCGTATGTTTTCGGGAGAACTGTCCTGAGCTTTCTGCATGATAGTTTTTCTCTATACCTGAATTCCAGGTAAAACTTGAAGCTGTTTCTTAAGCTAGAAGCTACTATCTTACGTTAGTAGTTAAATACCGTGCGTTTTCCTTCTCATGTCCTGTAGTAAGGCAAAACATGCAATTCACAATAGAGAAGCCATTCAAAGCACCGCTCAGGACACAGAAGATCGAGCCAACCAGTTGCATATCACGCTAATAATCTTACCCGAATGTCTTTGCTTTTCCTCTCGGAATCTGAAGCTTTTTATTTCCGAGTACCATGCGTCAACCACGTTTCTTCCTGAAAATATTGAAATATGATTTGTGAGTTATGAGGCATGAAACTGGCTGACACATCAGGCTTTATTCTTAATCGGTAATGCAGTAATTTTCTGAGTGACAAAGTCCACGAATTTCTTTCTAGTCAGTTTCTCTCAAAAATTAGATATGATAGAGTATTCTGCGATTCTTTCTGCGTCGATTTCAGTGAATACGTTAAGACTTAGTGATTGAGTTTAGCCTACTGTCACAGTCTGTTGTTCCAAGTCGACTGATGATTGGTTGCCTTTTAACTGACGGAAAATAGTTGATAACTAGAACTGAATTTCCTCCTTCGTGGCTGATTCTACCTTGTCTTACAAGGAACGAAGAGACTTTTCTTTGTTGTTGTTTTCTCCAAAAAACGCTTTGTCTAATAACGACCGATCTGATCACATTTCGGTCAGTCGCAAAGCAGGAGACGCACCAACATTCTAACGGAAAAAGTGCTTTTCGCCAGTAGAATAGGATATGATTCCTGTGAACGTGAATACGCAATGTGTTTCGATAAAATTCGACCATCAATCCTGCTGAACCACTGTACTTACGTCAAAATCAGAAGTCCCACATCTTTATCTATCTCGTGTTTCTTATATTATCGCCTAGCATATCATTCTATTCTATTATGCACTGCAACGATAATTTTCCACACATTATGACCAACTCTTTTGGCATGATTGAAAGGCTTCCGCTTCTTTCCTCCCTGTCTGGAGTCCCCGGCCACATACATATCGATTACCTTTCTGATATCACCTCTTCCTTTTTCTCCAAGTCCTCACTTGTTCACAGGGCAAAATGCTAGCGTCTATCGTTACCTATGTCTGAGTGCGCCTCTTGTGTAGTTTTTGACTTTAAAAAGTTTCGGGTGTAGAGTTACTTGCGTGATCTCTCATTAGACGACCGGCCAAATAATTTAGCTGTCACGCGCTCCCCAACGTTGGCCCTCATTCATCTCCACGGTCCATTGTTTAATTTACTTTTATGTCGATAGATGAAAGTTCGAAAACCGGGTCAGTGGGAACCTCGCTAGTCAATCATCACCAACGTGTCAAGCAATAGTACAATTGAGCAACCACGATCTCACTCATCTAAACCACCATCAGTGAATGATTACCCCGATGTGACACCGATACTGCTCGACCATCTCCGTGGTACTAGCAGATATGACTTGTTTATGTAGTCGAGAAGTGTCCAATGGATAAGGTATAATTCGCGGATCAACAACGAACGGAAAGCACAGCCAGTCGCATACCATCATCATCATCATTATACACATCAGCTAGAGGTGGGAAACACAGCTACTGTGCCGCATACCGTATCAACAATAATCAGCCCCGCCATTGTGAGCTACTTGCAACACGTGGTTTTCAACTGGTAGATTTTGATAAACGTCCACTATTTGTTATGTATTTTTAAGTGTTACACAGCATGTTTAGATAGAATAACTTACCGCTGACGCTAGGCGAACCAATGTGGAGATGCACATTCTCACCTATGCTGTACAACCGGGCGGCCTCAATCGTTTGCGCGCAGGCCAACTTTTGCGCATGTGCTTGTGCCATTCGGGCCAGATGGAAGTCGACTTGTAATGGAGGGCAACCGTGTAACTGCCGGTAGCTGTATGAACCCATAGAAAAAGAATTATCATTTACGGTTAGTTGGAGTATATGTTGGACGAAGCTTTAGAGTATATTTTGGTTCGGTGTATAATGGTGGCCAACTGAACTATGATCAGCGCACTTGCATTGACGAAATGCCTACTAGTAATGCACTTGATTGTTACTTTGACCCACCAGTGAGCCACTCGCAAGTGCGAGGTGGAGACTCCGTGAATGGATGTAACCCACAGGCTTCGGTAGAAATTCCTTTTCACCAGGGAACCGGATATGCAGTACGAAATTGGCGTATGTAAAGCCAATATACTTACAACTCCTAGATTGCCACAACGTAGTGATGGAAATGACAAAAACAAAGAACACGGTACTCGGGAGAAGAACGTTCATAATGTCTGTCACTGTGTGTAACTTTCATTTACCCCAAAAGCATATCCAGCTAGATGTGCCCATGGTCTTTTGGTCACAGACATTTGAAGCTGGAGCGCATTACCATCTAAATATGAGGTATGCGTGCCGACATTTCTGGTCCAAGTCAATTGGTTATCTTGCCCGTGGTTCCAGATGACTTGTCGCGTACACAGAGGCCGATGAAGTAAACGATCGGCAGGCACACGAAGTACGAGCCTCGTTATTGACTGAAGAAGGCAGACGTAAAACTGAAGCTCTGACACTTTATTTGTATTCTACGTGCACTCTCAACGGGTCGCGGACTATTATATACCATTTAATCCCACTTTGATTACTCTTTCCAAAATCGGAAAGTGTTTTGGGATATTTGACGGTTCTTGCGAAAACCCTGCAAAACCTTTCAAACCACTCTGTGCTTTGCTCTTTAGTGGATTGTTCCTTGCCCAGCTCAACGTACAGCAACCAAATTCGAATCATTCGACTCAGCACTACTAGCTGTATCCAACAAGCACTAGGCCAGCTCCATAACACCGCCATTTACAACTGTTTGCGGTAGTTGGAACTATATTTTTGAATAGGACTTTTAAACCTACTTTCCCTAGCTCCAAGGTGCGAACTGCATATCACCGACAACTAATCCCAAACGGCAACGATCGATAGGCTCAAGTACTCTCTCACCCCAACGCTAGCGAATCCCAGTCGAGCTCACGTGCATGTCCCAACGTGTGCGTGAATCGCCCTAGCTTCAGATTGTCATCTACTATCTGCCCAGGAGCGCACTCCATTATGTGGCGGCATCCGGTTTCGGATTTGCCTGTCAGTGTGGCCAGCCACAGGATGCCTACGCCTACAGAGGGACCATGGGTGGCCTGCGCTGCATCACGCACAGCTTCAACCACAACCCCATATCCAGTGTAAAACCGATGGAATAAGACTGAGAGGCATGTGTATGGGAGCCACGTTTCATCAACGCAGCCGATCAACACTCCTTCACAGACAAACACAAGCGCGTTGTATTTGGGGGATCAAGCGCACGCAAGGCGGTGGCTGGACCGTAGTCCGCTCCACAATTATTGCATGGAATCACTCTTTGATGCTAACACGGCCACAAGGACCATGCACTCCGTCTTCTCCAGCAAAGACCAACTGTCTCCTGGAGCCAGTGTGGACGAGGTAGTGGGTAATAGACAGGTAGGCATTTTGCCAACATGCACATCAAGCGCAGCCACACCGGGGCTATCCAGCAACAGCCAATCACTTGAGAGAAAGACGACAAAGAATATAAATTGATTAATGCATAAAGAAACGGTGACATAAACGTCAATTAATAAGTATATGAAAGAAGTTGTTTACATAGGAATCTGAGATTAGTTCACGTGGTCAGAATGTACATTTTACGGGAATGACAAACATGAAAATGTTATCGAAATTAACTACAATTGACTTAGGCGACGTGTGCAAGTTTATAGATGAGAGTATAGTTAGATATTTATTTTAGAAAGAAAACACTGGGGCAAAATTGAAAATCTGCCACCTGAAATAAATAGACTTACCATGCAAACACGCGGTTAGTAAATCGGATGCAGCGTACATACAAACGCTGCACCTGTTCCGCCTACGTTCTCTGCAGGACCCGTCGTCACTTCGGTAGTCGTCCCGAATGGTCTTGCCCATGGCTCATTAGGTCGGCCTGACTCAGTCACTCGCGACCGCACGCGCTACAACACTATGCGCTCGATGTCGATGGAGTACAACCCATCGGTGCTTGCCGCTTCTTCTCTGCACGTATAAGGTCTTTTCCCTGCACTTCGGCAACTACCTTCGTGATCAGATCGCGCTATGCACGCCGATCAACCGCCTTCGATTCCCATGACCTGCAATCAAGATTAGAACGTGAGAGGCTCACTTTAAGCATGTCCTGGTAACGAAGCTTCGGTTTCCCCACATGCCGCTTCCAAATACTCAGCTGACCATATAATAGTTGTTTCGGTATCCGCGTCGAATCCATACGGTTCACATGACCGAGCCACCTCAGGTGTCTCAGCAAAAGTATGCAGTCCACTGCATACATACCACTTCGTCGCAACAGTTACGTGTCCGCAACTATGTCTCACCAACCAATGCACAGAATCCGTCGCAAGCACTGCTGATGGAACCACTCGAAATATCGTACATCCCGCCGTTATCTCGTCCACGTTTCACTGCCGTATCGAAGAACGGACAGCACCATGGATTTGTACACCATCAGCTTCGTGCCAATGTTAAGCTGATGGTTGTTCCACACTCGTTACTCTAGATTCCCGCTGCCTAAGAGACGCGCACTCCATAGACCCGTGCATACAGACCAGGGGTGTCCAATGTCCGGCCTGTTTTAACATTTCAACTGGCCGGTGGCCTCATCATGAAATAATAAATTCAGGCTTGGACTTTGTTGTACATGCGTAACTATTGTCATTGTCTTAATGTCAGACTGAAGATGGCGCGACATAATTTTCCCTCACAAAATGACATTTTTGCCAAAAGTTTGGACACTACTGATATAGACGAATAAAGGAGGCTAACAAACACGCAGTGCAAGTGCCAGTGACCCAAGAAGCTGGCTCATAGTCTAATACAACCCGGAATTTAAGCCGGTTGGTTTGCATGGCTTGTAGTAATAAAAACCATCTTTTCTTCTCTTCCCCTGTGGCTGTATTCTTACTCAATCTTTACATTGATTAGTCCTACGCTCAGCACCTTAACATTCTTCCGAGTACCCGGTAGAAAAGCTTGTTGGCAGTGTGAAAACGAGGAGCGCTCTAATTAAGCTGAAGGCGAAACTAGAAAAGACTATAAAACCCAATAATACTGCTGCTGTAAATCCACCCACTGTTATTGCAAAAAAGGAAACGTCCATCATTTAAACTCCAAAAATATCGCATGTGGCTGGGAACCACTACAACTTTACTACCACCATTCCGATTGAAACGACAAATCGAATTATAGTCCTTGAGGAAAAACTAGCTACGCTGAGAAGCACAATTCATGAATCCAACACAAACTACGATCAATTTCTATCATTCTGTGAACTGCTTAGAGGTTCAGCGAATGTTACACTATACCGATTGTGCACAGCTGGTTCTTCACTAAATTAAATTGCAGCTGCAACACAAATACGCCTCTGTAGATCGCATCATGTTGCCATTTTTAACGTACCAGATAAACCGAGCCTCGACAATAACAAATGCTCTTTTAAATGCATGCAATATGGATGGAAGCTCCTGTTAATGCCTCAGACTGAGGAAAAAGGAAATTATCACCTCAGGTCCGATACTCCTAAAGTTTTTAAATGAGAGGAATGCATCAAAATTCATGCACAGTAAAAGACTATTTGTCGCACGAACTACTTTCAAAAACATTATGAGCAAACACGATCAAACGCCTCTTGAAAGGCGACTAACAATTAAACAAAACCCTACGGCCGATCGAACACCCAATATTCATACTATTAAAGCCGGTACTGATGCTGTCATCAGCGTCCTGCGCCTTGATAAGTCAAGTACGTCGTCTAAGATAGGAGATGACTGGCATTCCAGTCCTCTAGAGAGGTCTTCAAACAGCAGTATTGATGTGTCCCTCCCTAAAAACGCCAAGCAAGCTGAAAATACAACTCAGGAGAAACCTACTGACTACCCACCCGACTCCTTTGTCCCCTCTCCCAGTCATAAGCCTTTACAAACGTTGACAGTAACTATCTGCGACCTATCGAGAGCGCAACAAAAGCTCAGATCTTCATGTTGGCATCAAGAGGAACAAATCTAAATCCGACCCCATTGAAGCAAACTAAGAAGTATCCTCGACTAATCGAGGACTAGGCAAAACCAGCGGGAAACACCCTCCCAAAATTTCTCCCAGAAACACTCAAAGCTCAACAGCTCTGAAGCGAACACTCCAAGAACGTAGTGGTATCCAAGTAAGCCAACGGAGAAAATGTGTACGTCTTCAGCCTTCTGCATGCAACACTGGCACTGATATGGGATGAGTCACAGAGAGCCAGCCCAATATTTACCCACAATGACTCTGATCACGAATCCAAATCCCGCTAATTCAAGCTGGCAAAGCCCTTATGTGTGAGACACGGAAAGAACAAAGAAAATGATGGTTGGCATCACCGACTTGCACGCAAGAAGGTTCAACCTCCATGTACCTCAAGTCAAAACCCGCCCACCACCACCACCCCGTAGTACTAAATTGGCAAAAATACAATCCAAATAACAAAGCTTTTGTAGGCTTCAGCATCCCCTACCCGTGTATACAACGGATGTCCGTCCTTTTATAGACCATCGTATGCCACCACATCCTCCCCCACCAACCCAGCCACTACCACGTGCTATTATGGATCAGTAAATAATACAACTAATAGAGTATGTAATCTATTCAACCCAGCACGATGTAGAGTTCCGTATGCCTCAGCTTCCTCACAGCACACAGTTCACAAATACAAGGATGAAGAAACAAATTTTGCCCACTCCTTTTATTTACATCTAATAACATCTTTTAAATCTGTCGTTATTATCATTCGTTCACTTGTACCTAAATTAGATATACTTAAAC